CTGGACAATGAATAAGGAAGACTGAAGAAGAGTTGATGCTTTTGAGTTGTGGTGCTGGCGAAGAATGCTGAAGGTACCATGGGCTGCCAAAAAACTAACAGATCTGTCCTGGAGGAAGTACACCCGAAATGCTCCTTGGAAGCAAGAATGGCCAGACTTTGTCTCACCTATTTTGGTCATGTTGTAAGAAGGGACCATTCCTGGAGAAGGACGTCATGCTTGGTAAGGTGGAGGGTCGACGAAAGAGTGGAAGGCCTTCAACAAGATGGATTGACATGGTGGCTGTGATGATGGGCTCAAGTATAGCAGGGATCGTGGAGCTGGCACGGATTGGGCAGTGTTTTGTTCTGCTGTGCATGGGGTCGCTATGAGTCAGAAATGACTCGATGGCACCTAACAACAACAACATATGCATATGAGAGCTGGACAATGAATAAAGAAGACTGAAGAAGAGTTGATGCTTTTGAGTTGTGGTTTTAGCGAAGAATACTGAAAGTACCATGGACTGCCAAAACAGTGGACAAATCTATCCTGTAATAAGTGCAGCTGGAATGCTCCTTGGAAGCACAAATGGTCAAACTTCATCTCACCTACTTTGGTCATGTTGTCAGAAGAGACCATTCTGTGGAGAAGGATATCATGCTTGGTACAGTGGAGGGTCAATGAAAGAAGGGAAGGCCCTCAACAAGATGGATTAACACAGTGACTGCAATGATGGGCTCAGTTATATCAGTTATAGCAAGTATTATAAGGCTGGCACATGACCAGGCATTGTTTCATTCTGTTGTACATAAGGTCGCTATGAGTCGGAGCTGACTTGATGGCATCTAATAACAACAACAACACAGATAGTAAATGATATGCCAGGATTTGAATTCAGGTATATCTGTCATCAGAGCCCTCATTCTTCAAAGACAAGGCTATATTGCCCCCATCTATATGCAGTGCCTCAGAGCTCCCTGCCATACTTTTTATTAGTCTTCTTACTCCTCTGTGATACTGTTTTTTTTTAAGTATGATAAGAAAAACAAATTAAGAAATCAGAAAAAAAATTAATGTTTTTATTATTATTCATTTTATATATTTTCTCATTCTGTTTTAGATAATGAGTATTTCTTTGTTGATCCTGATGTAAAATTAACCAAAGTAGCCCCAGAAGGATGGAAAGAAGAACCAAAGAAAAAGAGCAAAGCTACTGTTAATTTTACTATGTTTTTCCGAATTAAATTTTTCATGGATGATGTTAGTCTAATACAGTGAGTGCACAGTTTCTATTTTGCCTTTTTGGCCCCTGATCTTTTGATTCTTTAGCTTACTGACACTGAATTGTTTGAATTAGATGAATTTGTATGCTTATGATGAAAATCATCTGAGATTTAAGATTCAAGATAAAAGTCTAGATGTTTTTGTGTATGTTTATTTTTTCAGACATACTCTTACCTGTCATCAGTATTATCTTCAGTTGCGTAAAGACATACTGGAAGAGAGAATGCACTGTGACGATGAGACTTCCATATTGTTAGCATCCTTAGCTCTCCAGGCTGAGTATGGAGATTACCAACCAGAGGTAGGATTTTTTTTTTTTCTCTAGGATCACTTTTGTGTTGGTGTTCTTATCTGTAGTGTAATTAAGGACTAAACCTGAGTGAGCTGTTTAATGTTTAGATCTAGAGATTTTTGAGGCTAATTTAGTGCCTTGAAATGATCAAGTACCTTGTGTACCTTGTTCTTCTACAATTGTACAGCATGGGGTTGCTTTTTATTTCTGTTTAAAATATCTCATTAGGGAGCTTAGGAATACCTAAGCTCTTGCCCCTCTTTCCTTCAATTTCTAACTAATGAAGACTAGGACAAAGATGACCAGTCAAATGTGAATAAAAGCGATCTGTCTTCCACACTTAACCATGCAATGCTGGACCAAGAACCTAGAAAAAACTCACTATATGGAGAAAAGATGGGCAAGGCCAGTGTTTCTGAATGAATTTAAGATGAAACAAGGGCAAGGGACTGTTCCACTTATGAACATCATCCTTCAGGACATTAACCCTTACTGTAGTGAAATGAGGAGTCCTTAGGTAACACAATAGTTAAGTGTTTGGCTAGTATCCAAAAGGTTGGAGGTTCAAGCCCACTAGATATGACCTTGGAAGAGAGGCCTGGTAATCTACTTCCAAAAGTACACTGCTACTGAAAACCCCATGGAGACCATTCTACTCTGAAACACATGGTGTTCCCTTGAGTTGGGATTTACTAGACAGCAACTTATTTGGTGGTTTGGTTTTGTTCAGGGGTTATAGTGAAAAGAGGTTCTTAAAAGTCAGTCTCTCCACAAGCTTGCTATTTAATTTGATCATTTCACCCCACAGAATAAAATGGAAAGATTGATACATTTCTTCTGAGACTTACTCCTCAGAGAGAGGGAAGAGAAGTAGAACTATCTTATCTCTTGACAGTGACAGAACTCAAAGGAGTAAGAGGGTTCACGCCTATAGTAGACAAACAGGATTGCTTACAAAAACGTTCTTCTTTCCAGGTCTATGGTATGTCTTATTTTAGACTGGAGCATTATTTGCCTGCCAGAGTGATGGAGAAACTTGAGCTATCCTATATTAAACAAGAGTTACCCAAGTTGCATAATACCTATGTGGGAGCTTCTGAAAAAGAGACAGAGTTAGAATTTTTAAAGGTAAGCATGCAAGATTACAAATGATAGACCTTGTGTTTTATTTTGTTTTTTCCCAAAATAATTAAGAGGTGTTGGAGGATACATACCTAAAATGCATATACCTGATACTATACACTATCTCATCTCATTTATTCCTGACTAAAACCCTATATCGTCATGTGCCACATAACATCCATTTGTAACATCTGAACACAAATAAGTCTGTGTCTCCCATCCTCTAAAGCCCAGTATATTAAAAATTTGAGGTACATACATAGTGGTTCATAATAAAAAACAGGTTCTACTTTGCAATAATTATTTTTGATGCATACAAAGGTACACTATATACTGTATACATGAAGACAGATACTTGACTGACATTGGATACAAACCATACCTAACTGTTTTGATTTATGTACAAATTTAACTTAAGTATGGATTTAGGAACAAAACTTGTTCATAATCTGGGGACTGTCTGTGTATGATATTTGATGTTTGCACAACATTCAAATCACATAATGTTCTATTTCACAGAACATACCATGGACATTAAGTGATGCATGACTGCATTTAAATACCCATTTTGCAAAATCTCAAAGAGGGTATATAACTTTCCCAAAGTCATGTAGCTGGGGATGGGGTACGGGAAGGTAAGGCAAAACTAGGATTTGACCTTATATCTCTATATATGACTGTAGATTCTTTGCTTTTATCTTATTTCCATTCTGTTGAAATCAAGATACATTATAAAAGTCAAAACAATTAAACTTGGTGACAGGTTGGATGGCTATGAAAGGCAAGTTCATACTGGTTCTAGAATTGTTTTGTTTTCTTTCGTAAAAGGCTAAAAGTTATATCCTTTAAAAAATCATTTTTCCACTAAATAACGACCAATTTGTGTATGGATGGCTGGTTGTTCCAGTTCTGTGCTTAGCTTCCTATGCAATCTCAGAGAAATAGTACAGCATTTGCAATCAATAAAGATAACACTTTGTGGGCTTCCAGTGTGAATTTGCAATATAAGAGATAGTGTTCTTTTGAAAAGAGAAGCTTTTCAGGACCTCTTCTGTTTCAGTTCTCTTTTTGTTGTTGTTGTTGTTGTTATGTGCCGTCCAGTCAGCCCTGACTCATAGCGACCCCTCCTTGGCTTTCCGAGGCAGTATCACTACGGAAGTAGGATTGCCCAACCTTCCTTCCGAGGAGTGGCTGATGGGTTTGAACCGCTAGCCATCTGGTGAGCAGTCATATTGTTACATCCTAGTCAGTTCTCTAGGATGTAACAATATGCCTTCTACTTGCTGCTCAGTACTGAGGGGAGCCAAGTTTCCCTTTACTATGAAAATCTTTGAAGGGGTTTCATTCACAGATTTACACCACCTTTTATCTAGGATTCATGGTAAGAAAGGCAAGATTGTTTTGTTTAAGTTGAATCTACATTTAAAGATTAATTATGTACTTATGTTTTCCTTAGTTACTCTATTTTTACACTTGTAAGAAGTAAATATCAAGTTGTATTCTTATTAATAAAAGTAAAATGCACATTGACACAATGGAAAAAAATCTACATGGATAATTGCAGTCAGAAAATCTTGCATTTCAATCCTTGTTTCAACTAGCTGAGTGATCTTAGTGTACTTAATCTCTCTGAGCTTCATTTTTCCCCTGGAAGAGTGTGTACCTAATATATAGTAGATTGCTCTACTGTTTGCCATAATATATCCTGTTACTACATTTTCCTTTAACTATATCTTTTTTTTTTTTTTTGGTAAATATATTCTCACCAAAACCTTCACCAATACATCTTCTGCATTTATAATTCAGTGACATTGATTTTTCATGTAGTGCCACCAGTATCACTATTCTTTCCCAAAATATTCTACCATTAACATAAATTCAATGTCCCCACCCCAAGCAAAAACTCCCCATTTCCCCCTTATTTTCACCCCTGCTAACAATGAATAATATTTGCTAATTTCATATAAGTGAGATCCTACAGTATTTGTCCTTTTGTTAGTGATTTATTCCATTCAGCATAACATTTTCAAGGTTCATCCATGGTGTTCCATGCATCAGAATTCATTTCTCTTATGACTGTGTAATATTCCATTCCACATTTTATTTATCCATTCATCTGTCAATGGACATTTCATTTGTTTCCACCTGTTGGCTATTGTGAAAAGTGCCCCAGTGAATATTGGTGTACAGGTTTCTCCCTTCACTTCTTTTGGGTGTATACCTAGGGTTGAGAGTGCTTGTTGTATGGTGGTTTATATGATTATATGTTCAGCTTTTTGAGGAATGACCAAACTGTTTTCCACAGTGGCTGCACCATTTTACTTTCCCACCAGCAATGGATGAAGGTTCCAATTTCTCCACAGCCTAGCCAACACTTGTTTTCTGTTTCATTTTGTTTTTATCATTGCCATACTAATGGCGGTAAAGTGATATCTTATTGTGGTTTTGATTTGCATCTTCCTAACAGCTAATGGCGTAGTGCCTAAGGCACCTGACTGCTAACCAGAAGGCTGGCGATTCAAGCCCACCAGCCACTCCTCGGAAGGAAGGTTGGGCAATCTACTTCTGTAGTGATACTGCCTCAGAAACCCAAGGAGGGGTCGTTATGAGTTGGGTGCAACTTGATGGCACATAACAACTACAGCTAATGATGTTGAACATCTTTTCATATGCTTATTGGACACACTTTTTTCTTTAACCTTAGCATCTTCTAACCTAACAAAGATTGTTTTTTATTATCTCTTTAATACACCTTTTGAAGTTATACATTTATGTTGCCTTTAAAATACTTTTATATTATTTTTAATTGGCTTTATTGAGGTATAATTTGCATAAAGAAAATTCACCACTTTTAAATGTTCGATTCAATGAGTTTTGAAAATTATATACAGTTAAACGAACCACCTCCACAATTATGAAGGACAGGGGTCAGCAAACTAAGACCCGCCTGTTTTGTAAATAAAGTTTTATTGGAACTTGGCTGTGCTCATTTGTGTACCTATTGTGCATGGCTGCTTTCACTTGCTGCTCTACAGCAGCAGCGTTGAATACTTACAGCAGAGATCATATGACCAAGAAAGCCTAAATTATTTCCTATCTGGCTCTTTATAGAAAAAGCTTTCCAATCCCTGATATAGCAAAGTTCCATGATGTCCCTTTGAAGTCAGTCCTAGCCCCTCACCCTGGAAATTACCGATCTTTTTATCATCATAGTTTTGACTTCTCTAGAATTTCATATAATCCTATGTATAGTATGTAGTCATTTGAGTCTATCTTCTTTCAGTTAGAAAAATACTTTTTAGATTCATCCATGGTGTGTGGTATTTTTATTGCTGAGTAGTTTTCCATTGTAGAGATACACAGTGTTTATTCTTTCCCTAGGTGATGAATATATAGCTGCCATAAACATTTACATATACTTGTTTGGGTGAACGTATGTTTTTATTTCTCTTGAATAAATACCTGTGAGTAGGATTGCTCGGTCTGAGGATAACTATATGTTTAACTTTGTAAAAACTGTGTAAGAAATTACCAAAGTAATTGTACAGTTTTTCAGTGCCACCAGCAGTGTCCCCATTGTTCTGCATTCTCATGAAAACTTGGTAATTTCAGTCTTTTAAAATTTTAATCCCTCAAATGAGTAGTGTTATACATTGTGGTTTTAATTTGTATTTCTATAAATACTATTTATGTTGAGCATCTTTTTATGTATTTGCCATTCAACTCTCTTCATTTTTAAAGTGTCTAATAACATTTGTTTCCTTATTGAGATGTACATATATGTTACACACACACACACACACACACACACATATATAATCCTTTATCAGGTATACACTTTACATATATTTAATTTCCCAATCTGTGGCTTGCATTTTCTTAACAATGTCTTTTGAAAGGCAAAAGTTTTAATATTAATGAATTTTTAATTTACCAGTTTTTTTTCTTTTATGCTTTGTACTTTCTGTATTTTATCTAAGAAATCTTTGCCTAATCCAGAGATTTTCTTCTTAAAATGTTATAGTTTTAGTTAGTTGTTATATTTGGGTCTGTGATTCATTTTGAGGTGATTTTCATATATCAAATGAGGTAAGAGTTGATACTCAATTTTTTCGTTTGTGTGGATAGCCAGTTGTTCCAGCCTTATTTGTTGAGAAACTATCATTTCCACTTTAAATTACCCTGGTAGGACTTCTGTATCTTTATATCACTTTTTACAAACATGCATTGCTATGGTGTATAGTATTGTCTCAACAGGTCTGCCAAAGGCTGACAGAATATGGAGTTCATTTTTACCGGGTGCATCCTGAGAAAAAGTCACAAACAGGAATATTGCTTGGAGTCTGTTCCAAAGGTGTCCTCGTGTTTGAGGTTCACAACGGAATTCGCACATTGGTCCTTCGCTTTCCTTGGAGAGAAACCAAGAAGATTTCTTTTTCCGTATGTCTGTTTAACCTTTATTTGGTTATATTTTAAAATAAGTATTGTCTATCTCCAACGTAACCCATCAATTGATTTTTCTTACATAAACTTTAGATTCTACCATCGAAAGGGTGAATATGACTCAATATTATTTAACTTTCCCTTCTTAGTTTTAGAAATATAATTAAGATGTTGTTTGTTTCTGGTTTTCTCAGGAACTGATTTTAGAAAGAGTCTTATACATTCCTAGCTAGTTATATGCTCAATTAACTTTAGTTAAATTACAACCAATTTGACTTCTCTGTTAAGTCAGATATTATTCTAAGATAGCAACTTCTCACATGGGGAAATCCTGCTAATGTGTTTAAAGAAGATAATCATCTTAACCCCTGGAAACCTTGTCTTGCTTAATAATAAATAGTAACATAGTTGTGATATCAGGATTGAAACACACTGTTAGTCTACCCCAGAAGTGAGTCAAAAGTGTATGTAGGTGTTTGTTTCCTAATGCTAATCAGAGGCCACTCATACTTTAGTTCATGTTTGGACTGAAATACAATCTTACCAGAATAATGTTGATAGGATATCAAGGTTTCAACTGATTGTAGAAAATCATCAACCTGGAAAACCTTTGAGATCAGGTTCCTATGAAACCCACAGGTACCACTTAGATTACCAGATAATAATGTGCTCTCTCAAGAAGGCTCAAGACCACCCTTATCTTCCCATGAATGTCAAGACCGGGAAATTAGCTGAGATTAATTTACTTTCCCCAGTAGAAATGTTAGCACAGCAAATGTCTTAGAGGAGAGCTTAGATTGAAGCAATCCAATCCAGTTTTGAGAAAGGAACAAGTAAAATAAGCATACTGTACACAGTACAGTACTGTATGCCATCTGCCAAGCCCCCATGCCAACCCTACTATACATGTATAGAACTAGTTCTGATCTAGTTCGTGTTTAAAGATCTCCATTAATAGTGAATAATAGACCACAAACCAATGCAAACTATTTTCTTTAATAGCATTTGTTCATCCTAGAGTTCTCTGTCTAACACAGATTTTCTTTTTTTAACCCTCCTTTTCTTCTAACTTCTGGGGAGATGGAAAAGCCCCTCTTTGTCTTTCTTATCTTGCACACTTTAGCCCCTTCCATCCGTAGGGTAAATATGAACTGATACTATTTAACTCTTCCTTCTTTGGGCACATTTCTTATATGTTGAAGTTGTTAGGTGCCATCAAGTCGTCTCCAACTCATAGCCACCCTATGCACAGCAGAACAAAACACTGCCCGATCCTGTGCCAGCCTCAAAATCCCTACTATACCTGAGCCCATCATTGCAGCCACTGTGTCCATCCATCTCATTGAGGACCTTCCCCTTCTTCATTGAACCTCCACTTTACCAAACATGATATCCTTCTCCAGGGAATGGTTCCTCTGACAACATGACCAAAGTAGGTGAGATGAAGTCTTGCCATTCTCACTTCCAAGGAGCATTCCAGCTGTACTTCTTCCAGGACTGGTTTGTTAGTCCTTTTAGCAGACCATGGTACTCTTAGCATTCTTCTCCAACACCACAACTCAAAACCATCAACTTTTCTTCGGTCTCCCTTATTTATTGTCCACTTCTCACATATAAAAGACACTATTGAAAATACCATGGCTTGGGTTAGGTACTGTCTACCAGTTAACACTTAAAGAGAATCAAATATTATTATTATTTGGCTCAAACCTGTTCATCTTTCTTAGATGTTAAATTATCTATAATATCACTTCTTATATTCAGATCTCTAACCTGTCTTTCATAATCTTTGTGTATGTATGTGTGTTATCTGCCCTTCTTTCCTACCTTTGTGTATCCCAGTTTTATAGCCTTTTTAACTGATAAACTAAGGAGAGCCTGTCTTTTATATTAATAATTCAACCAGTGAGAGAACTTTATAGCTGTGGAGTTCAATATCCTTGTTAACTACTTAATAGTGGTTAAGTTGTATGTCTGTTAAAAAAAAAAATAAAAATCCCCAACTATTTGAATAGTTACTGGCTATACTACTGGGTCAGCCCCAGGGTTACAGGTGAGGAGAGACAACTCAGGGACGCCCAAAGTAGCAGGCTGGAAGAGCAGGAGAAAGGAGATTAAAAGCCAGGAAGCCAGAGAGAAGAGCAATCAGCC